GGATTAACACTGACTGCTTGGCTTCCTTAACCCCTGCACGAACATGTTGCTAATCTGCCCAGAAACAGGCAGGTGGCAATCAGAGAGAACGAACGTTAATCGGCTGTCATCAGGATTTTTTTGTCCACTTCTAATTGGCTGCTGAAAGCTGATGTAATCACTGAGGTCATGACCTTGCAGGTGTCTCTGGTCTTAACACCGCTGATAAGCCAGAACCAGGTGAAACCCCTGAGCATTGCGGGACAGTGAGGAGGAGCAGCTTCACTTTGAACCACCGACAGTTTACATCAGATCAACTCGACAGGAGATTGATCTGATTCATGATCTGAGCGTCCTTTATGAGACCGTAAAGGACGCTCCGGTGTCTCCTCTGCCAAAGGAAGTAATAAAGGAAGCACTGAAGCTGATCTGACTTCAAGTTGACATCAGGAAGTCTGAAACCATCCTGTCATCCTGTGGATGAACTGCTGAATGACAGCAGGCACAGCCCTGCTCTCCCTTCTGTTGCACCTGATCAGTTTAAAAGGAGAGTTTCACATTACTGTGCAAACACGGTGTTTTACAACCATCACCGACAAAACAACTGGACGGGCTTCACCTGCACGCATCAGCAGGTTGAAGGGCATCAGTCTTAACAATAAGGTATACAGCACAATGCCAGGGTGTGTGCGATCATAAAACACCCACAGACCTCTGAGAAACTCACACTGCCAATTCAGGTTTAACAAACTGCAGACAGAACAGCTCTCAGCAGCAGCAGGATCCCTGTGAGCGTCCACAGTCACACGCTGTACAAACACCTCTGACTGGACTGAAACTAAAAATGAACACAAACTAAAACAACAGGAACCAAGTCTGGACTTCTGCATGAGCAGGTTCATGGAAATGATAAAGATCATCATTCATCAGTAATTACAGGCACAGAGGCTCGAGTTCCCCAGACTCACCTGAACGCACCTGCTGCATCTTTACTGATCACACATGAAAACATTTACACACACACACAGAACAAACAGGTGCGTCGTCCTCTCCTCTCTGCCCGGGCATCGATCCTCTTACCTGGGCACGCAGCTCGGGGAGGACCGGTCGATCTCCCAGGTAGCGAAAAGGTTCATGGGCACCGGGCCGCGACTGTCTGGCTCCCCGGCAGCCTCGGTCCCCGCTGACGTGTCGGTGGACCACCGGTCCACAACCGCCGCCATCGTTTCCTCTCCCGGTCGGCAGTCTCTGCGATGCCGTGAGCTGATCCTCCAGCCCGGCTACCAGTAAGGGCGGGGCTGAGAGCCGGGGGAGGGGGGGCTTATCCAAGAGCAGACACAGCAGAGCTGCTCAGCACATCCTGGTGAGGAGACACCTCCGTCTCTTCTTCTGGGTTTCCAGCAGAGCGAGCCCTCCACTCCTCAGCTCCACCTTCAGCATTCATGTTCAGAGAATCCAGGCATGAAATAAAAATGTCCCACTTCAGCTGATCCAAAATGCTGCAGCAAGAGTCCTGACAGGGACTAGAAAGAGAGAGCAGATTTCTCCTGTTTTGGCTTCCTGTTAAATCCAGGATTCTCCTGCTCCTCACATACAAGGTCTTAAATAATCAGGCCCCATCTTATCTTAATGACCTTGTAGTACCATATCACCCTATTAGAGCACTTCGCTCTCGCTCTGCAGGCCTACTTGTTGTTCCTAGAGTATTTAAAAGTAGAATGGGAGGCAGAGCCTTCAGTTTTCAGGCCCCTCTTCTGTGGAACCAGCTTCCAGTTTGGATTCAGGAGACAGACACTATCTCTACTTTCAAGATTAGGCTTCAAACTTTCCTTTTTGCTAAAGCATATAGTTAGGGCTGGACCAGGTGACCCTGAATCCTCCCTTAGTTATGCTGCAATAGGCTGCCGGGGATTCCCATGATGCACTGGGTGTTTCTTCTTCACTCACTATGTGTTAACAGACCTCTCTGCATTGAATCATATCTGTTATTAACCTCTGTCTCTCTTCCACAGCATGTCTTTATCCTGTCTTCCTTCTCTCACCCCAACCAATCACAGCAGATGGCCCCGCCCCTCCCTGAGCCTGGTTCTGCTGGAGGTTTCTTCCTGTTAAAAGGGAGTTTTTCCTTCCCACTGTCGCCAAAGTGCTGCTCATAGGGGGTCATATGATTGTTGGGTTTTTCTCTGTATGTATTATTGTAGGGTCTACCTTACAATATAAAAAGCGCCTTGAGGCGACTGTTGTGATTTGGCGCTGTGTAAATAAAGTTGAATTGAATTGAAATGTTAGCTAACTAGTGACAGAATCGATACCTCAGAGGAAAATGAGGACACTAAAACTAAACATCAGTGTAAGGCGAACAGGTCAGTGCTGCAACAATGATCTTATGTTAAACCGAGGATACACTGTGGCTGTTTGGTGTTTGGCTTGCTGCACTGAAACGGGAAAATCCAGCTGTTAGTCGTCATGTTTGGGTTTGTGAAGCACTTTATAAACGAGGACTGTGGAAGAGAGCCTGTCTGAGTCAGGTGACAGGTGATTTTTCCTTCTCTGGCTGAGAGCAGTCAGCTGATACGATCAGCACTAATTCATGCAATAAAGCACATGCAGACAGTTTACTTCATGCTCATCACACCACAAACAACTAAGTTTCTTCCTGAACCACGATCTGCAGGGAAATTAGGTGAAAAAGAACATCACGTCACATCATCTCACTGACTGGATTCCTTCATATTAGAAGTGAGGACTGATGGTGAAGGAGACAGTAAAGCTGAGGACCTGCTGATGGACGTCAGGATTTCGACTTCAGTCTTGTTATGTCAACCTCTGATGCTGTAAACTGTTTGGATGTGTTTAGGAAATATAATATTTTATAGTTACATCTGTGTGAGTGTTTGACGGCAGGGTTTAGGGGGGTAAATTAGAGTTTCATGTCCCCTTTAAAAATGAACTCAGCGGTCTCAGTGTAGCCTCTTTGTGATAATTACTGCGATTTAAACAGAGCAGAGAAACAGCACAAACATGCTCATGCGTGTCTGTAGGAGAGCTTTACGGAGCTGAACAGCTGCCCTGGAAAAGAAAGAAAAAACAAGCAGTTTACTGCCAGTGCTTTTCTACCTGAAATGGCATCACCGTCACATTTTAATTTGCTTTTCTTCTTTTTTAATTTGTCCTTCACCTGACGATGAATTAATTTTAATGTGTGAGGTCTGGCTCCATCTTGTGGCCACACTGGCGTACTGCAGGGATGATTCTGTTTACATGTTCGTGCACTGGCTTTGAAATAAGAGGGAAAAAAACTTAAAATCAGACTTGAAGGCAGATAAAACGTAGGGTGTGCAAACAGGAAACTAAACTTTCACATTTTAGACTGACCACAAAGCTGCTTTGCTTTGAAAGCATACTGGCTTCAAATTGTATTTTAGTCATTTTATTAGTTTTCTTTTCCAAATATGAACCATCAACAAAAGCAGCACAGTCACCTCAGCCCTGCGTTACATGATGATGGACTTCTACAGGTAGGACGGAGCCTTGTCAGCCGTTTGCTGGTCGTGTCACTGAGTTGACGTCTGCTGCTCTGTCATAATTTATGAATATCCTGAGAAACAACTTCTTCAG